CAAAAGCAGCCGCACTTGCTGGAGGCCACGGCCTGAGCAGCACCCGCAAAACAGCTCTTTTGAATGGCAGCCGGATCGGCTCAACTGATCCGATTAAGGAGCCGAGAAGCGCTGAGGTGACCGGGGAAGGGAAGGGCTTCCTCCTGTACTTGATACGGCACCCCTTCACTAGGGCTTATTTTCGGGGGAGGGCGTATATTTACAACCACCTCAAAAACCAGGCCTGGGCTTATTAGCAGGACATGTCATATTTTCAGGGAAACACGGTATGCATATATGTATATTTTTATATTTTTAACTGTTTTTAATCTATACCGGACTTTTACAAAAGCACATATAGTGTGGCTACCATTTGTTTTAGATACATTTTAGCAATACTACAAGCCAGGATTTTTAAGAATGGGGAAAAGGAGAAAGCGACAGCACTCTGCAGCAGAGAGTTCATCCAAGCCATTGAAACAACAGAAAATGGAACTCAGCAGCAGCCTTCCTTGCACAGGAGGGAGATGTAATAAATTTAAAGGATGAAAATGTGACAGATTTCCTCTCTAGACAATGTTTGCTTACAGCTCAAACTGTAAACTCAATCTATCAACTGTCATAAATAAGGTTGACTGCCTGAAATAATCTTTTGCAAAGTTTGTTAGGAGCTACCCAAATACTGTAGAAGGACTTGGGAGGACAACCACAGATATATATGGGATGGCTAATTCAGAAAATGAAACTAGAGAATGGCCTTGTCTTCCTTCCAAAAATGTGAACACTCATAAAGAAAACAATCAGGCAAAGGCCTAAGAGATGACCAGTATAACTACAGTCTGCAGACTAACCAGGTTACTTTGCAAATATACAACAACAGAGTGAATAGAGGGCGTTGGAGTAATAGAGAAGCTGTTAGGCTGTCCCTGAGCCAGCTGCTCCGCTGTGAATTCACTCTGATAGATCTACTACATGTAGAGTGGCTGCCAGCAAGAAGGCAACGTATGAGAATTCTCCTATCGTTCAAGCAGCCCACAATTCCCTCTATGCTCTGAATGAAGCCCTTTCTGAGCACTTTTTCAATATTTCCAATATGGGTCTTTTGCTCAGACAAAGTGTGCCCGCTTCTGAATCAGGGTCACCAAGAGGGAAGTGTTGCTTTAAATCCAGGCTCCAACGCTGCTAAGCCTGAAACTGTTGCAGCTGAACTGACCCTGAGAAGGCAAAGGAGTGATATACAAACTGTGTTACCCACAGCTGTAGAAACTACTGAGGATGTGCCAGAAGAAATGCTGATTGACCTATTCAGTGCATTGCCCGAACCTGAGCAAGTTAATATTATTCAGAGTGGATGATCTAAAAGAGGCTCTGACAACAACTCAATCTACAGCAAAGCCTCTATTTAATTTGGCTCCATTAATCACTCAACCTTGTGACAATATATTTAACCAACAATCTGCCTTTAGCTNTTCACCTTTCTGCTTTGGCAAATACTCAAGATGGGTTCTCACAGAGTTCGGAAAACTGAACTATGCAATAAATATAGCAACTGGTGAGTTTATTTATATACTGATCTCATTTTTCATGTGATGTACCTCGCATAGTCCATGGTGACAGTTCGGTGACACGTCCAAATAATTGTGGGGATATCTAGTAATAGCCATCGAGATATAGTGAAATTGAGAGTAATATTAATTTATTGTATTAACCTGATATTCATTTATAAGGGAAATGCCTTATGTAAAACTGCTTCAAATTCTAGTTGAATTGATTTCAGCTTCCCTAGAGTGTATGAAAGCACAGAAGGTTATATTACAGAATATTCTAATATTTTTCTTGGAAACTCCAGAAAATTCAAGGGGCAAATGTCATTCAAAATTCTATTTTGTTTTAGATGTTTTGTCTTTTCTATTAAATGCCTAGATATGTGCATTATTTTAGTAAATATGAGAGGCTTTGGGCTTAAATTTGCATCTAATAGAATTACAAGAACTAACCCAAGAGTCGTATCTGACAAAAACACTCAGGGCTTTCTTAAATGTTTGCTTCTCAATTTCATTTGCAAGTATTTTTCCCTTAAGGAAAGGTAGACACATTTTCATTAGGCCAAAAACAAAAAGGGGATTGAAGTGTAGTAGCTATTATCATGTTCTTTCCCAGCCGTTGCTTCTGTTGTCTATTTAGTAATTCTCATTTATTTGTTTTTCCTAGTGGAGCAGATGATGGTTATTTTATTTTATTACAACAATCCATTACATATAAAGGGAGATAGAAAGATAGACCATGACCAAGAAATAGACAGGATGCCGTTAATTTATTGGTTTTGGTTATAGCCGCCCGGAGTCCTCCGGGATTGGACGGCCTATAAATTTAATAAATAAATAAATAAATATTTTCCCTATGCTTTTAAAATTTAAAGGCTCAACAGACTGGAGACCAAAACTGCACTTTACATTGAAGATGTTCTTAGCAACTATGTCATTTTTCCCCCTCTTTTAAATTATAAAATAAGTTCAAAGAACCCAGACCAGATTGGGAGTTGAAATTTTAATTGTTTATCCTTTGCTAGGTTTCCAATCTAGACCGGATATACCATACACTGAATTTGCATGATCAAAAAGTGATTAATTTGTTTCAGTAAAAATAAATAAATAAATAATATTAATTGTGCTTCCCTTCTCTCCTCCCCTCCCCCAATTTTTTTTTTACTGGAATCACAGTAAAAGCTATAGTTCTGTAGTTTAATATTCTTGTTAAAATCCCAACCTGGTTTGGATTCCTTATGCTGATTTTAGACTCTATTTTTTTTAAAAAGGTGCTAGGTAGGCCTTTAAAGTAATATGTATTTTGGCCCTGAAGCTTTGATTTTGTTTCACACCTGAAGTATAAGACTGAAATTCTGGTTAGTTTTCAACCTCACTTTGATTATTTCCATTTCATGAAAAGTTAAATGAGAAGAGAAGATATTGAAGAAGCAGGCATACAGTCTGGAGAGAAATGAATTAAATAGAAGCAGTCCTTCCTTCTCTATTTTCATGTCATTCTTCATCTGTAAAGGGAATAATATAGTTTGGAAGAAATCTGTGAAATTCTATAATCCAACTGTCTGGTCAATGCAGGCTCTACTGTAAATGGAAACCACAGCTTAATCTCCTGTGAAACTGCATTCCACGTCTCCATTAGCTAGAGGGACATAACCAGTGTTCATTCCCCCCCAACTTCGTAGTCATTCCTTGACACAATTACAGAATTGGTTAGATATACAAGAAAAAATTTAAAGCACTGAAGAAGTATTTGACTCTTTAAAATTGCAATAATTCTGTTTATTATTATCCATAAATACAATGTTTAAGAACTTGGCATCATCAACAACAAAGCTTTGGTAAAGGCTGTGTCAAACTAGAGACTAAGTGTAAATTCTAATTTTGTTTAATTTGTATTGATGATGTCAAGGACAGAATTACTGTTCTGAAAATTAATTTGTGAAATCATCGTTTCATGCAGCGTGGAAGACACTGAATTAAATTCAACTGAAAGCCTTTCAGTAACAGGCCTGTTAGAAATCTGATTTGATTTATTACATTTCTATGCCGCCCTATTCCCAGAGGGACTCAGGGGGGCTCACAAACCAAAGTAAGGGGGGGGGGAATACAAACATAGAGGAAAGACAACGGACAAAACAACTACAACAATTTAAAAACAGTCAACAGCCACACAATTCGAGCGGGGGCGGGGAACTCATCAGCCCCAGGCCTGTCGGAACAACCAGGTTTTAAGGGT